TAGCATTTTGAAGCAGGGGAGGCTGAATACAGGCAACGCTCTCAGAGCTGCTGTAATTAAAGTGCCTGCCCCAACATGCACGCGCGCGCGCACGCGCGCACGCGAACTGGTTTATCTTTCTGAAAACTTTGGCAACTACCATACAGTGCTTAACATTTTTATTTGAATAATTTCAAGTTACAGTGAGTTTACAGTTGCGTAGACTGTCATAATTTTAAATTTAATTTTAAATGGGCTTATTTTTAAAACAGAAAAAAGTGTGGTTAATATAAATCAAAACAATCTGATTTTGATTTAAAATCAGATTTTTAAAATATTTTTTTAAATCATCAATTTTTATCTACCCTGGCTGCAGACATGGGGAGAGGCATTCCAGACCAAGACACCATAGCATCTGTAAAGTGTAGACAGGGGGAAACTTTTCTGAGTGGTGGGAAGTATGGTGGATGCAGACTGTCTCACTTGAAGACAGTCAGGTAAGTAATTCTTCCTGTTAATGGTTTGCATCTACTTGGGTAAAATAGTTCAATTCTGTAGCAGTCTCCCTGACACTGATGGTTAGAGTGAGAAGAGTTAAAGGGCCCTCTTTTTCCTGAGTTCAGTCATACATAGTGATAGATATTCTGAATATTTTGGGTAATTATCAGCCATGTGCAAGAATAACTGGTCAATCAAAAATAAGTAGAGATGCTTTGAGTATATTGTTTGCTGAGGAGACTGTTTAACCTTCTGAAACAAGTGATGTGCTTAGACTCCTGTTCAGGAAGCAGTCTCTCTTTATGACCATTCTTACCTGCTCTTGCTTCCTTACACTGAGAGTGTTGAATTGAACCAACCTCAGTGACGCCTACATTTTTCTCATTTCTGGGATTATTGTTCATTTTGGCTTTAGACATAACAACTAAATGGATTTCCCTCTTCCTCTTCTGAAATGGAGACAGATCTTGTGTTCAGACTGATTTTTTTGTCATTTGTCCTTGATCTGGTCAACAAAGAAGATCTGGCTTGACTTGGTGACCAACAAATGATAGGTGGAGTTGTTCACCATAAGTTCATTTTTTTCAAAACATTGTTTCTTCTTAGGAAGCAGTGGTCAAATTTTAAGAAGTAGGTAAGCTCAGTATTGTAATTGGGAGTGGGTGACTGGGGCAGCAGTGCTGAATATTTGTGGGATTGCACAAAAGCAGCTGCCATGGGAGTGGCAGTTTACTGCACTGCATCAATCTGCACAGTAAATGCTATGTGTTGGCAACTGTCTCGGGCCTGTACCTGCCCTGGTATGCCTCTGGTTAAGCTGCTTGGGAAGTTTTATTTATTTCAAGATTTCACAAAAGGACCCAGCACTTAAAGAACTGGATTAAAAAAAACAACCCAAAGATACCTGCATACATGTTCCTGTACTTAAGCTCACCTTCTCTACCTGTAGTGCAGGAGGGTCCACATTACTCCCCATTTCTGATTTGAGGGGGATGGGATGTGCTATCTCAGCCTGTCATTTTCTATACAACAGTATCCTTTTCTAACTTAACTTGTCCAAAGTCTCTCTCCTTTTTCTAGGTCTGTGAATGCCTATGCCTTCTTTATTTCAAGGTTAATCTAAGGAAAAATAAAATACCCTAGCCTAGATGGAACCAGCTATATAGCTTTAAATTGGAGCAGTCTAATTCCAAAGTAGTTGGTGGCCATGCACCCTATGGGCTCCACCACACTGTTTCACCATGTTAACACATGGGCAGACACTCCTTGGCATGTTGTGGCACCCTGCCTTACCTTCAACTCCCTGCGGGCTCCCCCATGGCATTGTACTGAATGAGTGCTTCGGGCTGCTCCATGCCCCCAGAGTGGGAGCATGCAGCACAAGCCAGAGGAGGGAGAGGGAGTCCTGAGACCAACTGCTGCTGCAGCTGGATAGGGGCAAGTGATTGCCAGGTGGTAGCCTGAGGACTGAAAGTTGACCCTTCATGGGCCACCAGTTAAACAGCTATTATATAAACCTGCTATTCTATAAAAACAGCTATTCTATAAAAGTGGCTTAGTTTTGAAGCTGAACACTTGCTGTCTTATCTGTCACTGTGTTACCTTGCCAGCTGGTTTTGTAACCATCTCTTCTAGAGTTGCCTTTAACTTACTAGGGCTTTTGGGCAGAATGATGCTGTTAAATGAGAAAGCAGAGCTAGCAAATGTACAGCCTTCGTAGAAGTTAATTTAGGTCACAGAACTTAGTCACGGATGCATCACTTCAAGTTTACCGTCTTGAGATCTTAGTGAAATCTACAGCCGTCATCTTCCTTGGAGTTGGTATTGTATGCATATGCCTTGCCATTCTTGTTTAGACATCTGTTACTTAACATTGATAAGACAATAGAAAAATGACTGAAAAGGGGGAAGGAAAATTCTTCTGAAGCCAATACAGCAGAAACCCACAATGCTAAAACATTTGGCATGGCTATAATACTTGGTTCTCTGTCGTGAATTCAGGCCAGTAGACCATGAATTTGTCGTAGCTCTAAACAACCATTCTAATATTATAAAAGCCTAAGTCTGTGTCTGTCTGTCCATAACGCTTTATTTGTGTTCTGATTGGTTGACAAACAGTCAATCAGAGTGTGAACAAGTGTTCCAACAGGTGCTGGTAGCTGGTGGAGTGCTGCCATGATGGTGTGGACACAGGGGATGGAGTGGGGTCAAGGCCAACGCAGCTGGCCCTCGCCCCTCCCAGCCCTGCTCCCTGGAGGCAGAGGCAACTGAGCAGACGGAACAGGGGGGGCAAGCCCAGCAGTGCTTTTTATAATGCAGTTATTATATGCTTAAAAACTTAAATTACAGTAGCTATTTGCTGTTCTAACTGTGAAATATCAAGACTGTCACTGATGTGAATGTACTAATGCTGAGTTTAAATATGCATGCTTACTAACAAAATACAAGGACTAAGGTTTGAAATTAATTAGTTTTAGTCATAAATAATTAATATGTTAATTTCATTACTTGAAAAACTATACAAGATGAAGAGTAACCAATGCTGCTGCCCTTTGCTCTAGAACAATAGAGTACTCGCTCACGTTCTTGTCTCCATTCTCAATTATTCAATTTCACCCACATCTAAAAGTATGAATCTGTCAAATTCTCTGCCAGCTGTACATTAGAGTTCTGTACATTGATGAAAATAGTCTCAGTTCTACTACTTGCTTCTGTGACACAAGATGTATCACATGAATTTTAGTTTCCAGATGAGGTATCAGTCTGTCAAAAATAGCCACATTTGGTACTGAACTGACAACTGAAACTTAAATAGTCTTAACTTGAAAGAGAGAATTCAGTGTTCGGCAGCCCAAAGATGGCTTAAACTTTGCTAATGTGTCAAAGATGTGAATGTGATCAGTTACGGGGAGGTCATCTTTCTTGTGGGTATGTCTTCACAGCAGGATTCAGTCCTTAGGTTTGCCTAACTTAAATGGAAATGGTCACCCTGAAATAATACCTCACTGCAGAGAATGGTTGTATTGGCAGTTGATGAATTCTGCTTATTCATAGATTCATAGATGTTAGGGTCGGAAGGGACCTCAATAGATCATCGAGTCTGACCCCCTGCATAGGCAGGAAAGAGGGCTGGGGCTAGATGACCCCAGCTAGATGCTTATCTAACCTCCTCTTGAAGACCCACAGGGTAGGGGAGAGTACCACCTCCCTTGGGAGCCCGTTCCAGACCTTGGCCACTCGAACTGTGAAGAAGTTCTTCCTAATGTCCAATCTAAATCTGCTCTCTGCTAGCTTGTGGCCATTATTTCTTGTAACCCCTGGGTTACAAGACAAGATGCAGGAACAGCAGAGGCACAGTCATGTTCTAGAGTTCTTTTCCTGATTAATTTTATAATTGGAGTGGTGAGATTTTTATACAGGCCTCCATTCAATGAATTAATGACACAGTAGGAACCTTAATTAAAAAATACGTTGGTAATGTGTCCTCCCCAACCCCACCAAATTTATAGGGACCAGGGCCAAGATTCTCAACTACTATCTCAACTATCCACTTAACTAGAGATCTGGGTATCCTTAATTTTTGTGTGGCCAATGTTAGAATCCTGAAAGGAGCTTGATTGTTGGTCAGTCAGTATGCAGCAATGTGTGAGCAGAACCTTTTCAGGTGTTTCAAATTGAACATTGTGTTTGCAAATCTTGGCTCAGAGGTCCAAGATCCTTTGACTGATAATCCTATTTATTTAGCAAAAATAAAGTGTGTTGAAAATAAAGGTAGGGAAGTTTTTTGTGCAGCCAAGAGAAGTTATTTTTAGTGGGGTTTTGTGGCTTTATTAATAATGTAGTAAAGTAATGAGCATTGCATGATTTTCTATAGTATACCTTTATTTTAACACTACTTCTATTATAAACTATAAGTATAATAAAATTTAATCTTTGATTGCAGACTGAAATGTACAGCCAGATATGCATACTTAAGTCTCAAGAACATCATATTTTGCTGTGTTTGAATGTGTTTCATATCAAGCCTTATTGTTACCCTGGATTTTTTTTGTAATGTAAATGATAAATTTGTTATGTGACATCTTATTTTTCTCTTTAGATTCAAAGAATTCTAAGAAGGATAAACATGGGAAAAGTCAACAGTCAAACCACCCATCTTTAAAAAATGGTATGTCTTAAAATAGTCCGGTTATTAGTCAAAGTAACTTTTAAGTAATGTAAATATTTGAATTGAGCTGTCTTTTGTGTTATATTTTATCACTTCTGTAGCTGTTACTTATGAATGTCTGAAAAATAAATGAATATGATTATCTTGGTTAATTTCATTAGGCTTTATTTTGGTATAGTATGTAATGCAGTGCTTGGAAGAGTAAAAGCCACCTTAAGCATGGTAGCTCTGCTGGATCATCCAGGGTGAGAGAGCAATTTGTTTTGGACTATTATTTTATGTTGCATCCTTTAACCTAATCTATCCTTTTTCTCTGCCTCTTTTTAACAGTCACTGTTTTTTTTCTTCTCTTTATCATGATGATAAAGAGGAGAGGATTTTCAGTATATTGGTCTGAATCTTCACTGGTAGGTGAAACAGTTGTATCCACTTGCTCATTTGTTGTAAAAACTTAAAAAAGTGGATTGTCTTTGTTTTCTGAAAGTTGTTTCCCATAATTTATAATAAATAGTTTATTCTTGTTAGAAATACCAGAATTTTTTAATCAGGTGCTACCAATCTGTCATTTGGAAGTGCTGACTAGGGAGATCACCTGCCATTGTGATATGCTGATGTTTTTTGGAGCGTTGCCTGTTCAGGGCCACATTAAACTGAGTACACCATCAAATTCTCAGGATGTGGCATGGAAAGAAATTAGTACGGATGATTTTGCGGGGAGTATTTTACCCAAAGAAATGTCAGTTTTCTCATGGACTGAGGTAGGAAGGTTCTGCAGGATTCTTCTGTTGAAAATCTGATAATGCATGACCAAAGTTATGTAAAATGTCACTATAATAATTAATTCCACTTCTGGTGTCATACTTGAAAAGTTTTGTGCCCTGGGCACCTGACTGGAGCTCTTGGCCTGGCACAAACATGTCTTGACTACTGCTCTTGACAGTATGTTTGAAATTAGAGATGGATCATTTCACAGGCACTCATAACTTGTTGGGAAGAACTTTTATTATAAAAGGAGTCCATAATATAGATTTTGGAATAACTCTGGACGTGTTAGATGTCTGTGCTGTAACAGTACTTGAGATATAAGCAGCAGCTCTGCAGAAAAGGACCTGGGGGTTACAAGGAACAATAAGCTGAATAGGAGTCAATAGCGTGTCCTTATTGCCAAGAAGGCTAACAGCATACTGGGCTGCATTGGTAGGATTGTTGCCAGCAGAAATGGGGAAGTGATTATTCCCCTCTACTCTGCACTGGTGAGGCCACGTCTGGAGTACTGTGTCCAGTTTTGGGCCCCCTACTATAGGATGTGGACATGGTAGAGAGAGTCCAGTGGAGGGCAGTGAACATGGTTAGAGGACTGAGGCACATGACTTATGAGGAGGCTGAGGGAACTGGGCTTACTTAGTCTGGAGAAGATAAGACTGAGAGGGGATTCGATAGCAGCCTTTAACTACCTGAAGTGTGGTTCCAAAGAGGGTGCAGCTAGACTGTTCTCAGCGGTGGCAGATGACAGAACGAGGAGCATTGGTCTCAAGTTGCAGCAAGGGAAGATTAGATTTAGATTAGATATTATGAAAAATGTTCTCACTAGGAAGTGGTAAAGCACTGGAATGGGTTACCTAGAAAGTGGTGGAATCTCCATCCTTGGAGGTTTTTAAGGCCTGGCTCAACAAAGCCCTGGCTGGAATGATCTGGTTGGGGCTGGGCCGGCAGGGGGTTGGACTAGATGACCTCCTGAGGTCCCTTCCAACCTTAGTTTTCTATTATTCTATATCATCACCCTTTACAAGTGAAATACTACAGTGCTGTCAGGGCATTATTCTACAGCCACTCTGCTCTCTACAACTTCATAGGAACATAACAATTGCTATATTGGATCAAACCAAAGGGCCATCTAGCCCATTATACTGTCTCCGAGAGAATCTGGGTGTCTGTGGGGCTGTCTTCCTCTTGCTCATAAATGCAAGTCTTCAGACAGAGAGCTTCACTGGACAGCATCCATAAGCTCCTTGGATAGGTGAAGGGACAGTGGGCATTAACCAGTGTTTTTGATCGGTGTTCCCCCTTGGAACTGTAGTTATTAGCCTATGACTTGCACTCCTCTTGCTGCTTTTTTAATCTTCTGTTCCAAGTGTTTGGTTGCTATGCATTTAGTGGTCTCCTTCTATTTGAGAGAGGCTTATAGTTTCCTGGCAGGCCTAGGCCCACCATCTCATATAGCAAATAGGCAGTCTCAGACAGCAGCAATTCGCAGATGCTGTAGGAAAGTATAAAGGACAAGATGTGTGGACATATCCTTTTTTATATCCTCCCAGTAACTGGCCTTCAGAGTTTTAGGGATGTCCTGAGCCTGAGGGCACCTCCTTGGCTGTTGTTTTAATATCCCCTAATAAACCTGCCATCCATAAAATTGTATAACTTCTTTTTCAATCTGGTTATACTATTGGCCTCCAGGAAGTCCTCTGCAACAAGTTCCACAACTCCATTTCTTATGCACTTCCAATCT